ATTCTTTGTAGCCACTGAAGACGAGTGGACACTATCGGCCCGCAGAAGTCACCCGCAGTACTTCTCCCATAGCTGTCCCCGCGCCGCAACTGCGCGAATACTTGTCCCTCTCAGTGGTCATAACAAAGTGGCGCAGTCACGTAAGATCTAATATACCTGATCCTTTCCTCCGCATACATCCCACGCCTGATCTCCACTCGCAATGACGCGAACACGACGACAACAACCGCCTTCTTCATCACCTCATCGCTCGGAAAGCACGGAAACCGCCGTCTCCGAGCAGTCCTCCACTAGGACTTCTCCTCGTCTCCCAAAGTTCAGTGGTAAGAAGGACTCCGACTTCACCATAGAAGGCTTCTTCGCTATATTCAACAGAGCCTTCCGCACACTCTCCGATGACCTCAAGATCGACCGTCTCATGGAGTACCTCGAAGGTGAAGCTGCTGACTACTTCGGCACAAACATACTTCTGACCGAAAGCATCACGTGGTCAGAAGTCACACAGAAACTCACCGCTCGTTACGCGCACTCAGACATTCAGCCCTTGAATGCCGCTGTTTGCCGCCTCCTTCTGCCTGACGAAAAAGTTCGTCAGTATTTCGACGCCAAAACTCGTATCCTCCGCCGCGTCTCCGGTCTTAGCGAACAAGACATGACAGGACTTCTCACACAAGGTCTCCCTGAGAAGTACCGCGAACATTTCATGGGTAAGCGTCCTGATCTCTCCAAATGGCTGACCAAAGCCCAGGACCTCGAAGCAGACTTCGACCGCCGCTCACAAACCACTCATCAGAACCGCTCATCTGATCGCTCATCCGTTCGACCATCCGCTCACTCATCCAGTCGTTCACATGCAGCCAACCATTTGTCTCACGGCTCGAGACAAGACAATCGCAATCACTCTTCACAACCCTCTGCTCGCCCAACAGATAGCACTTCCGATGACTGCCCTTACGTTTGCCGTTTCTGCGCAGACATTGGAGAAGTCCACTATCATTGGCACAAGTACTGTCCTAACCGTACTTCTCAAAGGACTTCTGGAAGCACCTCGCCTTCTGACCCACAAGAAGTCCCTTCAAGCGATTCGTCTACACAGCAGTCCCAGAACCACTGCATCACTAACCAGTCCTCTTCCGCAGCTTCAGCACGCGATGTCCTTCTTATTCCAGGCCGAATAGGATCTCTCCGCCTCTCCGCGTTCGCTGACCCCGGATCAACACTCGACATCATTCCACTACATGTCGCCCAACGCCTCCGCCTCCGCATTGACAATTCCCGGAGCACATCCATACACTTGGCTCGTGGCTCCGCGCGCACCGTCGGAGAAGTCACGTTCGACTTCACAGTCAATCACATCGTGCGACGCATCACTGCACAAGTCCTCGATGGCTTCCGTTACGGACTTCTCCTCTCTCTCCCAACACTCGGACGCCTCGGAGTCATCATCGATACGACCACTCGTAAGGTCTCATTCAAAGGCCAACACCACAGCTTGTCACACATCGGTTCCCACCGCGAACCAACACAACAAAAGTCCCGACTGAACGCGCAGACCGTTCCCAAAGTCGTCTCCTCAGGACTTCTCTCACATCACTCTGGAACTTCTGCGAAAGAAGTCCCCACTAATCATTGCAATCTCATTACAGTCCCGTTTCAGAACCACAACAACTCCACACCAAAAGGACAAGTTCTGTTGACAGACAATAAGAAGTCTCACAACCGGCGAACATACCGTCAATCCCCTCCATTAGCAGCCAAAGCTGTACGTCAGGTGCAAACACTTCTCCACGAAGTGCCCGCTCTCGAGTCCGACGCTCATTACGCCGTTCCCGACACTCTGACGTTCATCACAGACGGATCGCACCGCACGCGTTGTGGCAACAAGAAGTCAATCAACAGCACCACTGTTCTCAACCGCTCTCTCGTCCACACAGAAGTCACGCCAAAGCGTTCACACATCTCATCCACGCCTCGAGAAGTCCTCTGCACTTCTCAGCGCTCACCTCCTCGAGAAGTCCCCACAACTACCGGAGACTCAACCAGTACTTCTCGAGATGCCACCTCTCATCCAATCCTACCGATCAGCTCAGCCCTCGACTACACCCTCAGAACTGTCCGCAAGTTCTCTCGCGATCTCGTTGTCATCCCTCCGCAACTCGTCTCACAAGTCCTCACAGAAGCGCACGACCGCGCAGGACATCCAGGGATCCGCACAACAATCAAGAGCCTTCAGTACCGTTACTTCTGGCCATCCATGCGCCAAGACATCCAACAGCACATTAAGATTTGTTCCGGATGTTCACCACTCCACTCACCTCACATCTCATCATCGGATCCACTCCAACCGAACCTCTGCCGCACTCTCTCCTCATCAGAAGTCCAGCCTTCGCTTCACAGGACTTCTGCAACCAGAAGTCACGACGACTTCTCAACTCTCCTCAGCATTCATTCGCCCGCTCAGCCACAAGTCCGACGCCGCGCAACTCGTCCTCATAGCCCAACTCAGCCGTCTTACCTATGGGACAAGTCTCACAGTCCCGGGGAATGATATGACCATCAAGTACTTCTACGCTGTATTTCCCAGAAGTACTATTGCACTCACAAATGTAACCTTAATCCCACACTACTCTCCGACCCGTACTCCACTGTACCCCTCAGCAACAGCCCTAACCAATCAAATACTGGTACTTTTCCAGTACTCACACACTCTGTACCCTTTATAATACACACTCCAAACACATTGTACTCCAGTCTCAATCTCTCTCTCACTCACACGACATGAACTCCTAAATACTGAATAAAACAAGCGTTCAATTCACGCATTCATTGTCTCAGTCATTCACCATTACTCCTCATCTCATCCCTCATTCTTTGTAGCCACTGAAGACGAGTGGACACTATCGGCCCGCAGAAGTCACCCGCAGTACTTCTCCCATAGCTGTCCCCGCGCCGCAACTGCGCGAATACTTGTCCCTCTCAGTGGTCATAACAAA